CAGTGCCGTGTGCGGAGATCCAATGGCTCAGTGTCCTTCTTCATTGGTCTGTTCAAAGTAAACAACATCTACCGTTGCGGTATACAGCAATGTGAACCTAAGGGAGGGGGAGTGGAAATAACGAGGTTAGGCGAAGTTCGCGATTGCCTCGCCTCGCCTTATGGTATTTTAAAGGGAATGGTTGGCTTTGGGTGTGAAATTACGCGGGTGGATAAAAGGCGACCTAAACATACACTTCCTCCAGATCAAAGCGTTCAAGCAGGGTGTCCTCGTCATCATCGGAGGGCACTTGGAGGTAGGGGTTGTCGTTAAACGGACGGAACTTGTAACCGATAGACACCAAGAAGACTAGAGTCACCAATTCCTGGAACAGTTCAACCAGCCAATTCAGGTGCGCAGGGATGGTGAGCTTGAGGAGGTAGACGATGATACGCGTGAAGTAGATGTAGCAGATGACCTAAGGGGGCGAGAACAGGAGAAAAAAAAACATATTGTTGGGGGTATGCAAAATGCAAAAAGAACGAGTACAGGCAACGCTTACTTCATGTTGTAACGGTAGCCAAAGCCGAGATGTCACAGCCTAATTACGTCTTGTGTGAGTCCCCAAGGAAAAACACGACAAGAAGAGGGCCAAAGCAGAGGTCTTTGAGCGTAATTAGTACAACATATTTATGGGCAACAAACGCGTGTAAAACTATGTCCATCGAGCTAATCGGCTTCTGTCATGGCGTGGGCAGCGACACGATTGGCTTGTGATTTACTGGCTGGCTGCATCTTAAATTTTTAATTACTGATTGATTGACTGACAGTATGCGTTCAACGCGTGTAGTTCGATCGATAGGCTGCCGTGAGCGCGGCTTGCTGTTGCATGTTAGCTGCCTGCTAACTGTCCATGAGGCTCCTCCTAACATTATATACCTGAGCAATTTGACCACTGATGAATAAACTTACTTGTTACCAGTTTACAAAAAAAACTAAACCTGTGCGCAGAAGAAGAAGAGTGCGCCATTTACGCACGTGCTATACGGTGAGTTACGGTCATGGATAAGATCGCTGGTTGGTTCGTTCCCCAACTCCGCTCAAAAAGAGATTCAAGCCTAAATCATCAGGTTAAATTCCTCATCTCTTTTTATGATTAACCAAATTA